CCCGAGGGGAACGCTGCTCCCCCGGGTCGGGGCAGCCGCGGTGCCTTCGTCCCGCGGCCCCCCCCGAGCATCGCCCGTCGCGGGGGCGCGGTGCCGGTACTCACTGTCCGCATCAGTTCACTGAACCGGCTCGCAGCGCCGGGGCATCGCGCAGCGCCCGGGCCGTCCCGCAGCTCGGCGGGGCTCGGGACGGGGCAAAGTAATCCCGTCTGCGCTAAACTCCAGGAGAGCCGCTCCCGGAGCCCGGCTTTGCCTCTCGTCCCGGCTGCCCGGGACGTTTTTCCCCAGGAAGGCAGGAAAAGCTGCCCAGAAGAAGCTGCGCCCAACCGAAGATGTTAGAGGAGGCGAAGGGGGGTGGCTTTTTGCCCGCTGCGTGCCTCCGTGCCTGTCATTCCCTTGTCTTAATCCTTTAGGAAGGAGTCGCCAGGCAGACAGAGCGTTCCTGGAGGGGCGATGCTGCCGAGCCCTGCCCCGGGCAGAAGGAAGCCGGGAGATGCGTGGCCCGGGGCGGGCTGCGGGAGAGAATGAGGAGCTGCCTCCGCTTGCGCCTTTCCGAGAGGGAAAAAGCATGGTAAGAGCTGGACCCGATCCCTGGAGCGCAGCCCCGCTGAGCAGGAGGTGGGATTATTCCGGAGTAGTTACGGAGAGCTATAACCTGGCAGTGGAGTGTTAAAGCGACTTGTCCCTGCTGGAAGAGGAACCCACTGAGGGCACCGCCGGTGTTGTGGCCGAGGGAAGGTCACTCACATCCTTCTCCTCCTCTCGCCCTTCTTTCTGCATCCAGCGAACGTCAGTAGAAAGAACTGGTAGTCGGCTCTTGCCAGTGTTGGGAAAATACCGTGCCTTTTGCCTGGGATGATTTGCCCTGATGTGCCACTTCCACGGGATGTACAAAGTGCGACTGGAACTGATCTGGCCAACAAAGTTTGCAGAGTGATCAGCAGGGGCCGTGGGATGGAGGGAGCTGGGCACGCACCAGCAGGGTCCGTCACGCACGGTCTGACAGCACAGACCTGCTGCTCCCTTGAAAACTAACTCCTTGATGGTCCAACTCTTACTTTTCCCCTGCCAATTTGCACTTTCAGGGAAAAAAACCCACACACACACACACCATGCAATGCAGTGTTCCTGTGCTGGTTTTGTATATAAGATTTGCTATGCAATTACAAAACTAAAAGAGGAGGAGAGACGGCCCTGCATCCCAGAGCAAACAGAGAATCAGAGGTGAAAGGTAGGAGCCAGCATTTCTTGTTTAAATTAAACTAAGTAACCTGAGCTACTTCTTACTGCAAATCTTTAAAACACACCTACTGTATGTTTATGTGTTTTGTCTTGGAAAAGTAAAAGAGTTTGAAACAATGTGAAGATTTCCTTTCTGACACTGCCAAGAAACAGAGAACTGATGCATTTTATAACAGGAACGTACTGAGGAGGAAGGATGGAGTGTTTCATCAGTGAGACATTTAGGGAACTAGTGAAAAGGCACCTTGTATAATACGCTTCAGTAAATATGAAGGGCTAGTGCAGTGGACACTGGAAACACTCGATCAATAGTCTATTTAAGTGGGAATATATGCAAGCATGGAAAAGTGATTGCTTTCCTGTCTATGGGGTGTGTTTGGAGAGGACAGCAGCAGAACATTTGCAGGTGAGCTGTCTGAGTTAAGCTACTTCATGCTGGGGTGGTGCAGTGTGTTTCTGAAGGGATTGCTAAAAAACCCAGTCTGTAGGGTGGACTGTGTTTATGCATTTTCAGTTCCTGCTCGCAGAGCTTTCAGGATGTTTTTCAGGATAATTCAGATTGGGTGAGGTCCATCTGGGGGTGAAGGGATTATAAGAAAGGACCTTTGGTCTGTTTGGTGATGAGTAATTAATGGACGTCTGATGTCTTTGATCTCTGCAAGGCGAGGAGCTGATGTCGTCATGAAAATCATGATATGATTTTCCCTCAGGAGAAACTATGACTTGGAACGACACCACTATGGACGGGGAAGGGTTGCTGGCGGAAAGGGACTCCTCTTCCTTTCGGATCCTCACAGGCTGCTTCCTCTCACTGCTGATCCTCTCCACGCTGCTGGGAAACACACTGGTCTGTGCAGCTGTCATTAGGTTTCGCCACCTCAGGTCCAAGGTGACCAACTTCTTTGTCATCTCCTTGGCTGTGTCAGATCTCTTAGTGGCAGTTTTGGTCATGCCTTGGAAAGCTGTGGCTGAGATTGCCGGTTTCTGGCCTTTTGGTTCATTTTGTAACATCTGGGTGGCCTTTGATATTATGTGCTCAACAGCCTCCATCTTAAATCTCTGTGTCATTAGTGTGGACAGATACTGGGCCATCTCCAGCCCATTTAGGTATGAGAGGAAAATGACCCCCAAGGCAGCCTTCATCATGATCAGCGTGGCGTGGACTTTGTCCGTGTTGATTTCCTTCATCCCTGTGCAGCTGAACTGGCACAAGGCTACAACCACAAGCTTTTTGGACTTAAATGCCAGCTTACAAGGTGTAAGCATGGACAACTGTGATTCTAGCCTAAACAGGATGTATGCCATCTCCTCTTCTCTAATTAGTTTCTATATACCTGTGGCCATCATGATAGTGACTTACACGAGGATATACCGGATTGCTCAGAAGCAAATACGTCGCATCTCAGCTCTGGAGAGAGCAGCAGTGCACGCAAAGAACTGCCAGAACACGAGCGGCAACAGGAGCAGTATGGACTGCCAGCAGCCAGAGAGCAACTTCAAAATGTCCTTCAAGAGGGAAACAAAGGTTTTAAAGACTCTGTCAGTGATCATGGGGGTGTTTGTGTGCTGCTGGTTGCCATTTTTTGTATTGAACTGCATGATTCCCTTCTGTGAGCCTACCCAGCCATCCAAGGGAGCAGAGGCTTTCTGCATTAATTCCACCACCTTTGATGTTTTTGTATGGTTTGGATGGGCAAATTCTTCCCTCAACCCCATCATTTATGCCTTCAATGCTGACTTCCGCAAGGCATTTTCGACCCTGCTGGGCTGCTACAGGCTCTGCCCGATGTCTGGCAATGCCATAGAGACTGTGAGCATTAACAACAATGGGGCAGTAGTTTTTTCAAGCCAACACGAGCCCAAAGGGTCCAGCCCCAAGGAGTCTAATCTGGTTTATCTGATTCCACATTCAATTATCTGTCCAGAAGAAGAACCTCTCAAAAAGGAAGAAGAGGGTGAACTATCTAAGACCTTGGAGAAAATGTCTCCAGCACTGTCGGGTATCTTGGATTACGAAGCTGATGTTTCTTTGGAAAAGATCAATCCCATTACACAAAATGGGCAGCACAAAACCTGAACAGTAAGGTTTACTAAGCCAGACCCGATGGTGTATATTGTAATAATCTTTTGGGGAAAAATACAAGATTTTTTTGGTAAGAAACTAAGCTCTAGGGAGAAAAATACACATTTACACTGAGCCCAGAATTAATTTTCCTGGCATTCAAAGCAAATTTAACATTTTAAACAATAAACACAAAAAGATACTGGAAATTGGTTATAAAAAAAGATGTTAAACTGTACTGTTCATACTGAGGAAAATACACAAATTTAGATACAGTGCAGTGACAAAGAAAATATTGCTTCTCTACACAGGGAAACCAGTTTTCAGCTGAAAGTGAGGCAAAAGATAAATGTTGAGTATTTAAAGATTAATGTTTACTAGAAGTAAAAAGATTGCTGTGTCTTGTGATAGTGGGTGTTAACAGGTCCTAATTAAAGACTGAGAGATTGTAAAGGTAGGTAGATGCCTTCTTAAAATTATTTCTGAAAAATAATTGAGCCTTATAATGAGAATGGTTATTTTTAAAGCTTTGGAAGGTAATATGTTGATACTGGTTTTATTTATTTATTGTTTTAAATTGATATTTTTCATATGTTATAACAGATCTAGCTTTATTTATGTTATTTAAGATGTCTAAATAATGGGATATTTTTTGAGTGTCATAACTGCATTTTGACCAGTCAACCAGTCAGCACTTTATTACAAGCTCGGATAGTCTGGAGAGCTGGTGAGGGGAATAGAGGAATGTTAAGAAGCTCAGCAAGAAATGAAGGAATCAACTAAACCAATGCTGTGTGGAGTTCGTTTGCTTGTGGGCTTTTTTTATTTTTAAGTGGGATTTCTTTCAAAAGATAGGACCAGCGTTGACTGAGTTGTGAATTCTCTTCCCTTATAGAAATAAAAGAAATTGCTGCTATTTATTTTTAAAAAGTTTCATGGTACAAAGACTTTGCTAGAATGTCAAGTTTGTGGATCTGTAAATACCTTAAATATGACTACAACCTTAAGAAGAATCCAATTTGGGAAGGAGAGCGTCTTAGATAACAATTCTTAGTATATAATGTTTTGTATTTATGTAAGATAAACAGCTTTCTCAGACTTTTCTTATTTCAAGTCTTGGATATCTTTTCTGAACAAACACAATGGGTTATAATGGTAGTAAAGATGCCAAACGTTGTTATCACTGGTGTTACTGCAGGACCACCCGGGTCATTCTGTCTGTCTGCTACTCTATCACAGTCAGAACTAAAACGTGAGGTACCTGGTGCTTTACTTTGGGAACCGGGAGGACATTACATTTTAGTAATTGCCGTGTCAATAGTCCATTCAATAAGGAATAGTGCCTCATTACCATTTTGGATTAAGACATTTCTAAATATGGGTGGAACTGCAGCCCCCACCTCAAAATCCTCCTGTGAACTCCAAAAAAGTTGCCAATGTTTAATTAAAAAAACCTGCTACTTCTCCATTGTCCTTCCCTGCTGCTTCCCTTTGTAATGCCAAAAGCAATCGGTGAGCATTAGCAACAGGAACATTGGATGTTAATAGTCAGCAGCGTTCAAAGAAATCGATTTCTTTTCTGAATGGGAGAAAATACCCCTTGGAGCAACTTTTTCATAACATATATCAAAAAAATGTGTTGTCAGGAAAAGAGAACTGAGAGGAAAAAAAAATTAACAAACTATATACATCCTGCATCAGGTCTGTGTATTTATGTATTGTGAATGTTTTCATAATTTTATTGCCTGTATGCTGCTTTCATACATATAATAAAATTATTTTGTGAACAGAAGGTCAAATAAAACAATCTACATTGCATTTATTAAATTCATACTGTTTTTTGGCAGTTGTACTGATCGTGTTAAAGGGAAGGACAGTTCATTTTTTTCCCCATTTGCCTTTAAGTGGAATCACATCCATAAGGCTGATGGGAATTCCTATTAGGAGCAGGGGAAACCTCCCTACTGGAGACCTCTGAGCCCTTGCTCTAAACTAGGATTTGAAAGCAGTAAAAGCAGCTTGGAAACAACCACTCGCTTTAGATGTGTAAAGCTCGACCTGCTGGTGACTCTTATTTCAAAGGTATTTTTTGCCTTGGCATAACAGCATAATGAACTTGGTTTATAGAATGCTTTTATTATTGACTTTTTCCTTTCTTCTCCCCCCCCCCCCCCCCCTTTTTTTCCCCCAAGGTGCGGAGTCTTTCTCAAAGCCTGATACAACCCCACTGCTATTTTCTGTTTTTTTGGAGCAAAATGAATAATTTCAGAAGTGATGTGATGGTGGGTGCAGCTGAGGTGTCCTCCTGTTCCTGGCAGCCCTGTACTTTGTTTTTGCCTCTGTCAGCAGATTCATTTTGAATTGAAGAAACAAACCTACATTGTCACTTCTGCCTTGAGCATTTACAGCAGGACCCGTCCAGCACCTGGGACTGGAGTTGGTGCAGGAGCTGCTGGGGTGTCCAGCTCCCCCTCCCTGGGTGCTCCTGAGGGTCAATGAAGCAGCAGGTCTGAGGCAGACAGGGCATCGTGGCTGCCTCCAACCTGTCTCAGCTCCTTCAGTAAAATTCCCCTGCATGTTGTAATGCCAGATTTTTTTTTTTCTGGGTACCTTTGAGGAATTACTTTACTTCTTAAAAAGTACATAGGCCAAAAATAAAGTTCTCTGGTTTCTTACTTATTCTTAAATCTCCCAGCAGTCTGATACAATAGCAAAATACAGAGTATGATTTGAGGGCGTCATGTAAAGCAAGAGGCTGTTTTTGCATTAGTTTATAGGGAATTATTTGTATTCCAAAACAAATAGTTGCTCTGCTGCAACCAGGAGCCATCCCAGGACCTCCCTCCTTGCAGATGGAGCTGAGTTTCAGGGGGTTCTGTGAAAGTTGGTGAAGTGCTGTTGCTGTTGCTGCTGGAGTGATGGGCACCCTGTGAGAAGCAGGGCAGGGGAGGCACTTGGATGAGTTTAGTTTATTGTTTTCTCTCTAGTTCTGTTTAAACTAATTTTGGCTTCTGACTCCTTTTTATTATATACCTTTTAAAACATCACAAATTGGCCTTGATCTTCATTTACCAATGTACCTCATTTACCCCTTTTTTCCAGCCTTCCCAGTGGGTTTCTCTACCTGTCCTCTCTGCTTTTCCTTCCACCACCGCCAGAGCCTTTCCGTCTGTTTGGCTTTTCTTTGCCACAGTAATGCTTTGCTTGGAAGAAAGTCCAAATTAAAATCCTTCCCCCCAGCACGGCCGAGAGTCCCCTTCCCACAGCCTGCACTCGGAAATGCCTCTTACCTGTTGGAGAGCCTGGAGATCAGTGTCAGGAGTGACTAGAAGGAACAACAGCATGTACCTGCTAACTGCTGCTCTATTTATGTGCTGAGTTAATTGCTCAGAAGCTGTATTACCTGCTCTGTGCCTGCTCCCCAGCTGCTCAAAACCAGTGGTCTGCCCTTTTCTCCCTGCCTTGTTCCCTCCAGCAGTATTTTCCTCTGCAGAGTGAACCTTGCCATGTCCCTTTCTGCAGATAACCCGGGCAACCTTTTTTCCTACATTGCTTCCTCGTGACTGAAGGTATTTTTCTGTTTGTGGATGGAAGAGGTTAATAATTCACCTGATGGCCTTGATGAAGGAGCTGTTTGCAACGAATGAACCGTAATCACTAGATTAAATCTGAATACATTTCTCCCTTCCCTGTCAAGCATTTTATGCTGATTTGATTTTCTAACGTGACAAAGCACGCAAAAGATAGAGGATGAAGGATGCCTTTGCTGAGGTATAGTTTTAATGACAGTTATTGAGAGCCAGTCCTGGATTTTTTACAAATCAATAGTTTTCAGAAGCACCCAAATCTGATTGAAATCTCCAAAACCTGCTATGCTAGGTATCTTGAAAGGCAGATTATTCCATTAATTATTTTGTTTTTTAATATAATGATGGCAGAATATGTTCCTAACGATACCACCTAAGTGGCCACACAATGAATGTGACAACAAATAAGGAGCAATGGTATCTATTTCATAGCTTTTAAAAGATGAAAACAGATATCCAAAGTGTTCTTGTACTGGTCTGTTGCAGTAGAGGTGGGCTGTGGGCTGAACCAAGTGTTGAGCTCCAGTTTTGGATAAGGTTGGTGCTGATCCCCTCTTTTGAGAGAGGGTCTGGGCTCTCTGGGTGCCTCATGAACCTCACAGGTGGCTGCTGGGTGTGCATGCTGATACTCTTTCCACACCCCGTATCTCAAATTTGGGGTTGCACTTGTGAACAACAGCCTTCCCAGAGGGATCTGCCGAGCCCTGTGCTGCTGGCCCTGCTGCCCTCCCCTGCCAGGCACAGCTCCTTCCAAACCACTGCTGCCAGTGTGTTTCTACAGATTTCTACAGTATTTTTTGAGGCTGAACATGTAAATCAAGTATACGGTGGTTGTTTTCATGTTGGTTGTTTTTACAGTCACAGTCAGAATGAAGTGGGAAGTTTCTGGTCTGCCTGTTCTTACTCTGTTTCTAGGAAAAGCTCTGGGCAACGGTAGTGCTGCCCTGCTGTGCTTCTGGCCATTGCTTTTCTATTTTGATTGTGTTTCCCTTTCAGTCGTGCCGGGCTGTTCCTCCCTGTTTCAAGGAGGGATGTTCCTGCTGGTTCTTTGGTGAAGGAGTTTCCTTGGTGCCCGTGGGTGCAGCGGTGATGGATTTAAATGTTAAAATTTTTAAATGTTAAAAATAAAAGGAAACAGGTTAATATGACTTGCATTAAAAAATTTGATTGTTAAAAATCTTTTCCTGCTCCCATCCCTTGATTTTCAAATAATAAAATTCCTATTAATTTCACGTTTTCCTAAAAGAAGGAAATTTTTTGAGGTCTTGAAAGACGACATAGAATGAGAAATATTTGCTTACCAGATTCTCCTTTCACTGAGAAAGAGGAATCATTTTACTGACCTACACCACCATTACAAAGTTTCTCCTAATTTCAGAGGGAATTATGGATTCAGACACTCAGAAATTTCCCTCTGTATTCATTTTGTTTCTCTCTTAATAAAGGAGTTCCCAATGGTGCCATGTTCTTAATGAATTGGGTGCCACTCTGTGTCAGTATCAATAATTTATTTTCTTGTGCATGTACACACACACAAAATCCATCCTTCTCAATTAGTAGATTCATGGAGCATGGGGAAGGGATGAGTGGTGAACTTAAATGAGTATTTCTTTGCTACAGAAGCAGGAGATGAACCAGGCCTGTATCACCTGCATTAAAAGGACATACCTGATCTTTCATGCCAGTAGTCCATGCCTGAGAGGCAAAAAGTTAAAATAATTGTAAAAACATAGACTTTGAAATTGCTCCATAAAAGATGTTTTAAATAATAATTAAAATGATTTAATGATGCTGTTACGTACTTTTTGACTTCCTTGTTTTCTAAGGTTTCTGTAACTACATCTGTAATGATTTCAGAGTAGTAAATGGGACCACCCAATTTCATTCTCTTTGCTCTTCTGTGCTGTATCAGACTTTGACATCCATTTGTGTCCCAGCTGAAGAGACTCTGCTGCAGCAGCTCCTCCAGCCTGATGACACCTGCTGAAACCCTGGATCCCACTGGCTCTGTTGGGATGTGGGACAACAGTGAAAGCAGCCCCCTGGAAAGAGCTGCTTTTGAACAGTGGGAGATAATTTTTGAGCAAAACCATTGACTTTTCTATTGGTATCTGTTTTGTAGGTCCAAAACCTAATCCATTTTCATATTTTTCCTGATTTATTTGCAAACAGTTTGAGTTAATTTACTGAAAACCAAGGCTTATGGCTTCAAGAACACCAGTATTTTCTAAGTGAGAAAGACTTTAACATTTTAATAGTTGTAATTTCAGGAATAATTAAATATGATTACAATCCTTATAGAGTAGAACATTTTCGATGGATTTTGCTCACGTATGACGTTCTTCAAAATAGGGAAACAATTTCTGATGAGAACAGTTTAATGCAGAAACTTTCAGTCATATTTCTTTCTTGTTTGAGGGGTTAAAATATAGTGACAGGAAGCTTTGGGGTAACATGCAGCACCAGTAAAAGCATTTCCTAGCAAATAGTGTAGTCAGTCACATTTAGACATCTAGTAATTTTGTGCTATTTAGTCTCCCTCATTGTACAATATTGATTATGTTTTAAAAAAATAGATTAAATGAGTATGTGAAGGTAATTTTCATTATAATAGGTTCAATTAATTGGCCTTTTGCTTGGAGTCTCAATGGACTTTTACCTCTCCAAATGGCATTTTTGTACCCAGGCTACAGCACAGGAATTCCTGCCCTCTGTGACTGTCTTACTGCTTTTCAGTAGGAGAAAATTCCTTCTCCCTCCTTCCCTGTCTTTTCTGCATGTTCTCTCCCTTCTGCCTTTTTATCCTTTACTTATTAGGATAAAGTAAATTGTAGGAATGTGATTTGAACCGGTACAGTGAACAGGTTTCTACTGTAACAGCACAAGATCCTCTCTGTAACCCAGCCAGCCCTGCTGTGAACACATCCATTGTCTGAGCTTTACTCTGACCCTTGGGACATTCCTGGCACACACGCACACGTGCATGGATGCAGCATCCCAGGGAGCCTGTTTGTTGGGACCTCTCCACTCACATCCTGAAGTGAACACTGCACATTTTGGGGTGGGGTGGGATGGGGAGAGCCCTGTCAGTGAATTGACTGGGGCATTCTCAAGAAAAGGCTAAAAAGTCTGTTAAAAAGTTAAAGCCTTTGGTCAGTGGCAGTATACTTAACCCCTGGAATAGTGCTCTCCAGTGCTCTCCAAGCATCTGCCCTTCCCAGCTCAAAAAACATTTGCAGC